GGCTAGTATTGGTGGATAATGGATACCTCTTTATACCGCGTTCTACTTATGGTATTGGCATACGTCTTCCTTTAGCTAGGTAAGTTATACATATAAAATCGATGTGGACTTCAAAAAAGGTAAAAAAAAAATATAAAATAAAAATAATCTTACCGAAATGAACGACTCGTAACTTAACTTGTACATATAAAATCCTGTGATAAAAGTTGGTTTAATAGATCTCAAAATCATTAACGTCAGTAATTGTCGTATCCTTTTGTCACACCGCCACCAAGGAACGTTATACACTACCGTGCAAACACTTAATTGCTGTAAGTACATATTATATATATAAACAACAAGGTATACAATATGATATTACGTCATTATGTAGGTAGGTTTATTATCCGCACTTTTTGTATGATAAATTCGCCGAAAAAATTGTTGAGATATTGATGCCAAAAGCTCACACAAAAGAAACATATAACACTGATTGTTTCGATTACGCTGGTACTGATCTAAATACAAAACATATGATAAAAGTATAGAACTATTCTTATAGAATCATAATATACTATATAGCTGATCCATGCACTTTGCTGTTTATGAACAATTTCCCCCCCTTGAAAAATCATAGATACCTACGCTACTGGTCCGTCTTTAAGCTTAGGTACCTAGGTGAGTATAAAGAATTGCCGCAGTAAATTGCTCATTTGAATACTGAATTGTTTCATCAAAGTGTCAAATACAAATGCGAAATTTACTAGGGCCTCAGTACTCTGTATCTATACAATTAATACTAGAACATATTACATAATATCAGTATATTATAATAGACATTAATAGTGCATACCGTTAGCTGAAATAATGCAAATGTCAACGAGGTTATTCCATGCAAATAATCCATTATTATAAGTGTGCTAAACAGTTTACGTATATTCGTTATATAACTGCAAAACAAACAAACGTTAAAAATTACAATATGATTGTATAAATATATAGTTTAAAAGTAGGTACAGTGGAGTGACAACGGGGTTGCACCCCCTCCCACTTAACTTTAAGCATCAGCATGCTCTATGTATTTATAATTTCAAATATTTATAGTGTTTATTTTTTAAAGCGTCTAAACATAAAATAACTAATCAAATAATTTAATAAATAACCTTTCCATTTGGAGAGACCACTATACCAGAACAAATATTGAACACATTCGCTGCTATCGATAGCCAATTATGTTTAACACTTTAAATTGAATAACATAAAATACTATAATAAGATGTGTTAACATTTTTTCTCTAATAATTGGTAGGTATGATTGTGATATAAGGACCGGATTTTTATGGAAAAGTATATTTTTTACAATTCACCAAGAATTAATTTGATTCGAAATGTTGATGTTATGTAATGTGTAAATTATATGATTAAACATTTTTTTTGCATATTTTTGCAATTTTATTTTGGGTAAAAATGACTATGAATTGTATATTTCTATATAATTGAAAACATAAAAGTTGCATTTTTTATGAACAGTTGATGAATTTTTTTTATTTTTAGCTTATTTTATTCCATATTCTATTAATTTATCTTTTATTTAATTAAAGAGTAGTTTGTATTCATTTGTAAGCAGAAATATACTAACAATTTTAATCTTATTTTTTATTAACATATACTCACTAAATATATTTTGTAATTTTATTTAGGTATTTAGTTTTTTTGCATATTTTTGAATTTTCGGGTGCATAAATATGTGCATATATTTTAACAATAATTGTTGTGGAACAAGTCGTGAATAATAGTATAATCTGAATATTGACACAATAAAGAATATTGGACAGTATGGGGGGCAGAGCCCCCCTCCCACACAATGACGTGAGTAATTCATAATATTGTATTGCACCCCCCAAGATTTGAACTCTAGTTGCGCCACCGAGTAGGTACTTAATAATAAATTAACATATTCATAATATATATTTAATACATACTCAAGGATCAGAATGTGATGTTTTACACATTCTCGGAGTGTCGAGTAGCATCGTGTTTGCTGGTTTTCAGTATAAATTGAAATCCGATTTGTACACGAAGGATAATCAACTGTAAAATTATTGTTTTTACAAGTGACGCCAAAAGCACTGACAACCGGGGTTCTGGTGCCACTGCAGGTTAGGTTAGGTTACATTAGGCGTACATTTTACGACTTTATAATATTTAAAGTAAACGATGATTGTTACTAATCGGAGAAAAACTAAATACAATATCTATTACTTAGATAATTTAAAACTGATCTCGACGGAGCAGCTAATTTTAATCCAAAGTTATATCCATCCCCTAATGGCTAGTCGTCATCTCTTGTTGAAACTTTAAACGATTATTATAATAACAAATTAACAAATAATAGACACTTGTACAAAATTCAATTTTTATTATATTTTTTTACATCGATATTTTTCGAAAACAAATTTATATTTTTTCGTAGTTGTGCGCATGGGGGTATATTGATACCTTAAATATATGCCACCTATAGATACCTATATAGTTGATTTAATTGAAAATCAATTTAATTATTTCGACGAAATGGTTTTTTTTTAACAACAAGTATTATATTAGTGTTATTAATGAATATTGAGAGTAAAATTTCTCTAATGTACCTATTATATAGTTTTGAAAAACAAAATTAAAAAAAGTCGCTCTCCTGTACAGTAGGTTACAAGTGGGTCACTGTAATGTGTAATGGATGGTGTTAAATTTGAATTCAATAATATAATATCATTGTATAAAAAAAACGATTCTGTGCGAAAACGGCCAGTCAGCTTATGATATTACTATAAGTATATTTGATGATATAATCGTGAATAAAGTAATTTATATATTTGCCTATTTACGTGGTCCCTTGTTTTAAATTTTCAACCCTTAGCTACAAAAGTTGAACATTTTATAAATTTTTAACTACGAAGTATTATTAAATTTTAAATATGATAAATTTTGTCAAAATTCGAACTTTAAATGCTTATAAAAAAAATTGTGCCTATGTATTTTTAATATTTTCCAACTGCTATTATTAAAATATATCAGGAGCCTTGCATTATATATTCATGTTTTTATACCCAACAAATACAATTTTATTGATATTTATAGAGAAAAAAACTAAGAAAAATGAAAACTGACAATATCCATAAACTGCTCAAAAAAATCAAAATATTTTCAATTATTATGGTGTATAGAAAATGAAAATCTAAACATTCAGTAAAATTTTCATGTATCTACAGTTATTCGTTTTTGAATAACAATGAAATAATAAAACCACTACATGAGAAATCGAGTGAATATCCAATAGGTATTGTAAAATTATGAACTTCAAATGCTCATAAAAATTTAATTTGATTTGCTTGTAGACATTTTTTTGTTGATAAAGGTAGATAAACTTATGAGTAATCTTGTATTAAATTTTCAAATCTTAGATTTAAAAAGAAAAATTTTAATGAATTCTCAGCTCAAAATAATTTGCTTGATTTTTCCGTATTTTGTCAAGATTTTAAATTTAAATACTTATAAAAAAAAACTGTGACTAAGGATTTTTAATATTTTTCAATTGCTTTTGTAACAATATAGTAGGACTGTAGGATCCTTGTATTAAATTTTCAAGCTTTTTTACTCAATAAATAAAGTTTTATTGATATTTTTAGGAAAAAAACTAAAAAAAAATGTAAAATGAAAATGCCCCTAAACAGTTCAAAATAAATCAAAATATTTTGAAAATGTTATCGTGTATAGAAAACGCAAATATAAACAACCAGTGGAAATTGTATGTATCTACGGTCATTGTTTTTAATGTTACACCAAAAACAAAATTCAATTTTGTGAAAAATCGATTTTGCGTAAAAATTCCAGTTTTTCCTTAATTTTTCTTTTGTTTTTCTTGGCGTTTTTGAAAATTACTGAGAATTTTAAATTTTGACCTCCTCAATGCACCAACGATATTCAGTTTCCAATCAAACAAGATACTGAAGTTGAAAATCGAAGCATTATTTCGACTACTTATCGTGTACACAGACACAAAAAAAAATACACATCATTGTAAAATCAATACATTCATCGTTCCACTCAGAATCTATAATGTCCACCGTAGAGTCAAATTAAATTTTTATCAGCTTTTTTGGTTTACAATGATGTTATATTGTATTGTAATTCAAATTTAACACCATCCACTATTATAGTGACCCTGCACTTGTGACCTACTACAGCAGAGCGACACCCACTTTTTTTTTGCAATTCAAAAATTATTTAGATAAGTATTTACATGGAATTTTTACCGATTTATATTGATGACGTCATATATTTGTTTCACAGTAATAAAGTCTTGACAATTTTATACAAGATCCCTAACTCACTAGTTTTTCTTACTGCAATTCAATGCAAAATGCACTATAATATTTGATCTGTGGTAGGTACCTAATATAATTTAATAATAATTATACTTACATTGTGTCAAAATGTATTCGTTATTGTTTATAGATGTATTTAGTAATTCAATTTGACCGCCTACAGCATAAATAGCGCCAAAAAAATACGTATCAATTCCTAAGTATACCATTACAATGAACACCAATGCAAATGAATGGCAGACATAAACCACTAGAAACATCCAATTTTCGTTCAACGTGAATGGTATCCAACAGTTGATCGGGTAGCTTTTTGGATCGTTGTAGTATTTAAAATCAGATTGATCACTAAAATACGAACAGTAGGTAATTAATAATTATTACAATTATTATTGGGTACAAAAATTTAAAATTTCTTCGGTTGCTAATTGTTTTTTAATATAATAATATACCTATACAAGGCCGTATCCAGAAATTTACACAGTGTAAATAAATTTGATTTAATTTCTATCTTAAATTCTTAACGTTATTTAATTGAATTAACTTAAATTGCCACAGTTAATTATTTTCATTAATTTTCCCACCATTGATAATAACATTTTATAATAATATAGGTAGGAAATGATAAAAAAAATTGCTTTCGCATTACCTCTTTGGATAGGTCAACAAGGGGCTGACGATTATGAAAAAAGCCGCAACCATACCGCTGAACATATACCAAAAGCTGATGTTTCGCATTGGCTTTAAATAGCTGGACGTAAACGCGTTGGCCGAGCTTCCGTACGCCGCCGATCCTTGAGCTTGTATTGCCGTCAGTTTGGTTTTGAGCTGGGAAAATTCACCGTTGAACACCGTCATGTAAAAACATTTGTACATGCCCGAGAAGAGCATGGTCCAAATGTCTATGGTCCTCGCCAGCAGCGTTAGGTCGGTGGTAACGACGAACATCTGGACCATCATCAGAACCGTGACCGAGGTCATGACGATAAAAATGATCGCCCGATAAAAGTTGAAAGCCCGCTGCGTCCATTTCGTCGAGTCACTCGAAGAAAACACGCCGATCGACCGAAGAGTATTATACGCAAATGACAGATAATCACAATTATTATTCTGCATATTTCTCAATGAGTATTTTATAATACTAATACCCACACAGCACAAAAATTTTTCCTAACTATGGTAAAAATATTTTCAGGAAAATAATATAGTTGTTAATATATTTAAAAAAAGTTGCTTAAATAATTAAAAAATATTTTAATTATATTCTCTGGCCAAGAAATTCATATTTTTGAAAATATTTTATAAAAAACATTTACAGAACATTTTAATCATATATTTTCAAAAGACATTTTTACGGAAATCTTACAAAAATATTAACCCAACGTTATTATGCAATCATATGGTACAAAATGTTGCCATAATGAGAAGAAAATATTTACAAAATATTATTAGACGAATATGTTCATTATTCAAGCACTTTAAAATATTCACAAAATACTATCATTTTCCAAATGCTTTGTGGGATACTATTTGAACGAACTACGTGAGTATACAGCGTGGATGTTCGATGGCGTAGCTATGGCCTATGAACCATCGTCGTCGGCGACTTATACCTAAGTATTATATGTAATAATATATAAACTATATAATGATGTGATTTACTATAATATTACCTCAATGTATATTATTATAGAGTTGTGTCCGAAATGTTGTTGGTTTTGTTTGTTGATATGCATTTTTTTAATTCTATAATATTATAACAGAGTCCTCTACTATGAATATATCATCACGTTAATGTTTTATTGGGCCTAATAATATATTGTGTAAATCCAAATCGATTTAAATTGTTCGTATACAGGGCACGAGTTCGATAAACTTATAAAGACGTAAATCCGTTTAGCAAGGTCAGATTATATTGTTTTAAAATCGATTTGGTCTTAAAATATGTTTGTACATAGAAAATGATCTTTTTACGTCCACGGATGTTATCGGGGTGGACTGATGAACAATTTTGAATCTCGTATCAACGCATTATGAAAAAAATTTAATCTATATAGATATAGGTAGTATGTATGTTATAATAAACGTAAATTAACTGGCCATACCATTATACCAAGTACTCGTTAAAGTTTTTTTTTTAGAGATATCGATAAATATCGCCGATAATAAAACCCATTAAAAATAATTGACAGTTTGATGCACAGTCTTCAGAAAATCTTATCAAATTGTACCTTTAACATGTATGTCGGGTATAAAACTAGTAAATCAATTGAAAATTAAACACAATAAAGGCATTTATAAGTAAAAAGAGCAAAAAAAAAATTCATTCATCATCTTACATAATATTATTATGACACACATTTTTATATAAAAATTATTTTTTTATTATTATTATTATTAAAAAAAAGGCTTTTGCCTTCAAATTCGTACCCTAATAATAAGCGTGTCTGAAATGTGAATGTAACTCGTAGTTTCTTATACTTAGGTTGTATTAAGGAAATGAAACATTATTGAAATGTTTTAGCCAAAAGGTTTTATTTTTATTTTTTGTGCATTTATCTAAGAAAAGTAGGTAAACCCGATTCTCCGTTTTAGTCGTGTAGTTAGTTTAAATTTATGATCACAAAAAAAAAAAAAAATGAAAAATGTATATCAACACGGTACATTTGCTGCTGTATATTATTTCGATATTTTGGCATTTGGCCAGGGCAATATCGATTTTCTCAATATTATTCGTGTATTAATAAAATAATTTACATTTTTTAGTGACTAAAAATTATAACAACCTATCTAATAGTATAATATTATGCTATGTTATAGAATGGTGGGCACATATACAAAAACCATTTTGCTGTTTGCCCATGACCATATTTTATGCAATTTTCTTTTATTTACCATCAGGAACTGCTAAAAAATTTCAAATATTTATTTGGATATGTATTAAATATTATATGATTTTAAATATTATTTTTTTACGAATCTATATTAATTTATGATCGTTCCTAAAATGTAAAATGTTTTAACTCTAGATGAGGAGTGTACCTATATAGTTTTAGAATAATGTTTATTTTTACTTCTATTATTATTATATTTTCATTTTATTTATCTGTGGACACGTTTTCGAGCAGAACATGTGTTCTAAATGTTTTGAGTATGACAGTAGGTAACCATATCTACGAGTCTAGACTACAATTTAAAGGAATTAATTTTATCACCTTTTAGATTATGAGTGAAACGATGAATGTATTGATTTTACAATGATGTGTGTTTTTTTATTTTTTTATTTTTTATTTTTTATTTTTTTTTGTATCTGTGTACACGATAAGTAGTCGAAATAATGCTTCGATTTTCGACTTCAGTATCTTGTTCGATTGGAAAGTGAATATCGTTGGTGCATTGGGGAGGTCAAAATTTAAATTTCCCAGTAGTTTTCACAAGCGCCGGGAAAAACAACATAAAAATTAAGGAAAAACAGGAATTTTTACGCAAAATTGATTTTCCAAAAAATCGATTTTGGTTATTGGTGTAACTCTAAAACAAATGAACGTATATACATGAAATTTTCACTGGTTGTTTATATTTGCATTTTCTATACACGATAACATTTTCAAAATATTTTGATTTATTTTGAACTGTTTAGGGACATTTTCATTTTTCGTTTTTTTTTAGTTTTTTTTCTAGAAATATCAATAAAATTTTATTTGTTGGTTGCGAAAGCTTGAAAATTTAATAGAAGGCTCCTAATATATTGTTTCAAAGGCAGATGAAAAATATTAAAAATCCTTAGTCACAATTTTTTTTTATAAGCATTTAAAGTTCAAAAATTGACAAAATATGGAAAAATCACGAAAATTAGCAAATTATTTTGAGTTAAGAATTCGTAAAAATTTTTCTTTTTAAATCTAAGATTTGAAAATCTAATACAAGATTACTCATAAGATTGTCTACCTTTATCAATAAAAAAATCTCTACCGGAAAGTCAAATTAAATTTTTATGGGCGTTTGAAATTCAAATTTTTACAACATTGGATATTCACTCGATTTCTCATGTGGCAATTTCCTTTTTTTGTTGTAATTAAAAAACGAATTACTGTAGATACATGAAAATTTCACTGAATGTTTATATTAGCATTTCCTATACACCATACAATTTTGAAAATATTTTGACACTTTTTGAGCCGTTTACGGACATTTTCAGTTTTCAATTTTTTTAGTTTTTTTTTTCTATAAATATCAATTAAGTTTTATCTGTTGGGCCAAAAAGTGTAAAAATTTAATACAAGGCTCCTGATATATTGTTACAATATCAGTTGAAAAATATTAAAAATACATAGGCACAATTTTTTTTTATAAGCATTTTAACATCGAATTTTGATAGAATTTTTCAAAATCTCGAAAATTATTAATCATCGTAATTAATAAATTATAAAATGTTCAGTTTTTATAGCTAAGGATTGAAAATTTAAAACAAGATTCCACGTAAGTAGTTAATTCTCTTACCGAAAAATCTAAAAAATATACAATCACAGTTTACTTTTATAGTCATTTTATGTTCAAATTTGGACGAAATTACATATTAAAAAACCTAGTTATTTTGTTGTGATTATATAATATTATTCGTGGGTACCTACTTGAAACTTCTAAAGTGTACTATTATATATATATGATAGTATCAGGGTTTGTTGTTGATGTTGATGTATAACGTGTTATAAGTACCTAATGGATATTGTGAAAATGTGATATGATTAATTTGGAATTTATTATAGGTCAATTTTTTTTTTAATACCATAGATATGTATATAATTTGTATTAAACCTAGACTGACATACCGTCTTCGCTCAGAATCGTTTTTCTTATACAATGATATTGTATCATTGAATTCAAATTTAATAGCATCCATTATACAGTGACCCACTTGTAACCTACTGTACAGCAGAGCGACATCCACTTACCCACCTTTTTTATACTTGTTTTATTGGTAATCAATACAATTTCACATAATACAATTTATCATACTTAAATAAAAAATGTATAAATTGTAGTCTATACTAAATAATTTATAGAAATTGACAATATAATGAAATAAAAAAGTAAACGGGGAAAGAAATAAATAGTTCACAAATAGTTGTTACTATATGTATCTTTAAATTTTCTTGAAATTGATTTAAAAATTGGACACTTTTTTGTTATAACTTATAAGATTACTGTTATGTTTCAGATGTTATTGAACAGAATTCTTTATTTTTTTGTCATTATTTTATATTACTGTGTAAGCACTAAGCAGTCATTGGTTAGCTACAAATTATTTTTTTAAATGTATTTATTTTAAGCATTCCGTTTCGTTAAAAATGTAGTAATATTATTATATTATATGCATTTAAATTTATGACCAACAGTAGGTATATCTCTCTATTATATAATAAAAAAAGTTTTGTATATTTTATCTCCTATATAATATTATGATTCTTATGGAAACCAAAAATTTAAAATAATATATTTTTTTTGATATTTAGGTAAATTAAATTAAATTAAACACTCAAAACTCACTAGTAATTCAAAAAGGTTTATATATTTCAAATATTTTAAACAACAGATACTTAATTTCAAGATGTATATATGGGTGCGGAAAAACTCCCAAGGGGCAGTGTTGGTCGACTGGGGATTTTAAAGACATTTATCTACGCGTGCCGTTGCAGTTGGTTTCAACCAAACATCGATCATTTTTTAACACGCTGTGCTTTAACGAAAATCGCATTATGAACGTGATGGTATAACATAGTATTAAAATAAAAAATAAAAAATATAACATTGGCTGAGGTTGATCTGAGAACAGTGAGCCCAATAATATTACAGTCTCTGACAGACGTATAGGTATCTAATTTTATTGTTCTTAATTGTGCTGTAAGATACCTAAAAACTAATGGATATTATTCAGATGCGACAAATCAGTAAATACCTTATGAGATTACTTTGTAGACAAT